CGCTCTCTCTGTCTGGATTTTAGTCACACGCAAAGCATTTATTAACATGCCAGACACAAAGTTGAAATGTTATAAAACTGAGGTTGTTTTTTTCTCATTGTTAACATCAATGCAGTCATTTCATTTATTGGCATCACTCTCGTGATGCCAATCGTGAAACATTTCTCACAATTCTCCCATGGCTGCGTCTGGGTTCTAAGGCAGGGATAAAGGTAGGATTCAAGGGCAAGCACAGAGAGGCTTGGAGAAGTAGGGGTAAGATGTGTGGTGATGTGGGAGTGACACAGAAGTCTGGGGTCCTGGTGGGCAGCTGTGGTTGAGTCAGTGTGAGGCTGCTGAGGTCAGGTGAAAAGAGCCAGCTGTGGAGAAATCTGGGGAATGGCACTTCAGGCAGAGGGTATAGCCTGTGTAAAGGCCCTGAGGCAGGTCACACCTGCCATGTCCAAAGAGTAGTAAGGGTGTGTACCCAAAAGAAATGAAAGCAGATCCAGCTCCTGAAATCTTCATTTTGCAAAACTGAAACTCTGTCCCCATCAAACACTAACACCCAATCCCCTCCCCCAGCCTCTGGCACCCCACCCTCTTCTTTCTGTCTCTGTGGATGTGACCCTCTAGGGACCACCTGTTAGTGGAATCATGTTCGTCCTTTGGTGTCTGGCTTATTTCACTGAACATAATGTCTTTGAGGTCCATTCATGTTGAAGCAGGAGTGGTTGAGCATGAAGGTTGAGTACTACTCCGCCGTGCAGCTGGACTACATTTTGTTTTTTTCACCCATCGATGGACGCTTGCATTGTCTGCACCTTTTAGCGACTGTGAATTCTACTGCTATGGATATGGGTGCATGAACACCTGTTTGAGTTCCTGCTTTCAATTATTTTGGGGTGATACACACAAATGGAATCACTGAATCAAATGAAATGGTAATTCTAGTTTAGTTTTTGAATGTCCATCATAGTATTTTTTCATTCGTTTTTAATTTGGCTTCTGCTGTATTTTAATGCATAAACATTTCCTCTATCATATGGTCAAATTTCTCACTCTGAGCCAAGGGAGGCTAGGAAGGGCAGCGAGACCTCTTGTGTGGGCTAGTGACTGTTTAAGGACCTAGTCAGTTAAGCCTCTCTCTGACCCTAGAGAAACCCCCCAGGAGTGGAGCATGAGAGTTCCTCTCAGTGGACCCCTGAGAGGAACTGATATTAGAAAGGGTTTCTAAATCAGAAATTTAACTGAGTTATAGGAAACAAAGCAACTCGCCCCTTGAAGCTGGAAAGCAGCCATAGACAACATGCAAATGAATGGACATGGCTATGTTTTAATAAAACTTTATTTATAAAAACAGTCAGGGGGCCAGATTTGCCCACAGCTGTATTGACTGAGCCCTGCCATAGATGCTTGGGAAGCAGTTGTTCACTGGTGGGAAGGATTCCTGGAGAGGATGAGCTGCCTCTGCACTCTAAGTGGAAGTTCTCCAGGTGATTGAGGAAGGATATTCTGGGAAGAGAAAACTGTGTGCAGTCATGCTTTGCTTAATGTCCTTTCAGTCCACAATGGGTCACATATACAACAGTGGTCCCAAAAGTCTTCACCATCGAGCCTAGGTGTGTAATAAGCTATACCAGCTAGGTTTGTGTCATTACACGCTAGAAAGAGGGTGCATATCTCATGCAGTTTTCCTATGATACTAAGGTGATCAACCAGGAGCTCCCTGGTTTCAGTGCTAACACCAGGAAAGTTTTGGCGAACCAGTTAAAACACACACACACACACACACTCACACACTCACACACACACACACACACACACACACACACACCCCATCTCAAAGAGACCAAACAGCAGACTTTTCACACCCAGTAGCCCATAAGCCTGAGACCACTCGCTGAAAGGAATCATTTAGATATCACGGCAGCAGCTGGGCCAAGTGTCTTTTTTGCTGAGCACTTGTTAAAAAAATCAATAGAAATAATATCAGTAAACAAACTGCTAATCGTTGCCCCAGGAAGAGGGGGTGAGCGCAGCTGAGTCAGCAGGGATGGCACAGGGGGCCCGAGGCCTGACTTGCAACTGGCTCATGTGTGACCTCAGGAACAGGCGGGGGGAATCTCTGGGTCTCAAGGGCCACAGCGGACTGAGAGGGTCTGGTAGTTGCAGCTGACGATGGGAATTCTTTGGCGGTGGTGCTTGGGAAGGGAGGATGAGCAACTTAAGGTGGTGAAAGATGGTAGAATGTTCACATCTTTCTCTTCTGCATCCACCCAGGTCTAGCCCATCCTCTCCTGCCTGGACCAGTGCAGTCGCCTCTGACCTATTCCCCCAACTCACACCCAGCCCCCTACAGCCTGTCCTCCCTGCTGTCAGAGGGGGAACCTGTGAGCACCTGAAGCAGGTCCTGCCTCACCTCAGCCCACAGGTGAAAGCCCAACTCCTCCCCACAGCCTACAAGGTGCACAACCTGCCTGGGTCCTCTCCTTGCCTCACCTCCCCTCTCTCTCCCCTTCCCTCAGCCTGCTGCAGTCACATGCACCTCTTTGCTGTTCTTCCAATTTGTCAGGCATAGTATTGCCCCAGGACCTTTGCACAGGCTGTTCCCTGTTTGGGACAGACTTCCTCCACCTGTTCCCATGACATCTCCTCATCATTTAAGTCTCAGCTCAAATGTAACCTCAGAGAGTGCCTCCCCCACCACCCCAGCTAAACTTACATCCCCTGACCTCATCACGTTTCCCATATCACCCTGTTTCAATTCTGCCTATCACTTATTGTTTGAAATGATCATTTTTGTTTATTTGCTTACTTGAGTACCGTCTGTCCCTCTTCAGCTTACAATAGCTCCAGGGAGGTAGGACACATTGTCCCTTCTGTTCTCTGTTGGGTCTGTAATGTCTAGGACAAGGCTGGGCACACAGTAATCAAAGTTTGTCGAATGAACAAATGAGCAAACAGAGGCAGAGAAGGCAAGAATGCAGATGTTGGGCATCAAAGCACGTGTATTTAAGTCCCAGCTCTGCTATACATTGACTGTGTGAACTTGAGTCAGTAGCTTAACCTCTCTATACCTCCATTTCTTCACATGTAAAAATGGGAGTGTCTAATGAAATAATTCACACACAAAAAAAACTGCACAGTGCCAATTGCTCCTTATCCCTCACTAAATAAGAAACTAGGAATAGAAAAGACAGTGTCCCATTCATGGGACCAAATAACCTTCATCTCAGGGACCTAACTTGGTCAGCACATGCAGACTGGCACTTTCCTTTTTGATGGCAGTGTATGTTTCCATAAGATGTACATTCCATGGCTTATCTTCCCTGACCCCACCTAAGGGACACACATCACCAACTCCTCAGGGCTCTTCCGTGACTGACCTCTTTGTACACACATGAGGATGTTTCTCTGGGTTACAGTCAAGGGCTGGACTGGCGAAGGATGATTCTCTTACATCAAGCATCCTTGAGCATTAACACACACCAGTGATGGACCAGATATGTAGCAGGGGCCCCAATGCACTCCGCCCTATAGCTGGGGTTGTAGTGGGCTGTACCATCTCGGTTTGTGCACTTAATACCCTCTGATGTTAGCCCCACCACGAAATCACCTAATGATGCATTTCTCAGCATGGCCCCCACTGCTACGCCAGGCGTGACTGCACTTGATTCTGGGTACACACAGCAGCCACACTCACCAGTTTCCCTTACCCTTGTCAATCCTTGATTTCATCTGATTTCTCCTCCAGTCTGATCAAACTGAGATCTCATCTGCTTCGATTTTACATTTCCTTGGCCAGAGTGACTCCCTCCCCCCCTTGGGAGGAGGGGCATGCCCACAAGACATGGTCATTGCCACCCACAGACACAGCAGGTGTAACTAACTGCGTGCCAGCAGCAGCTTGGCAGCCCCCAGACCCTCTCAACCAGAGGGTCGGGAAGGAAGAACTGAGAGGCAAATCAACTGGGCTTGAACCCTAATCTGCCACTGCCCTCCCGGGGCCTGAGGTGGGCGATGTCCTCTCTCTGAACTGCTGGGAATGGTGCACTAACAGCATCCACATGTGTGTGCAAAGAGGTGAGTTCACGGATGAGCTCTGAGGGGTTGTTGGTCATATGAGTCCATGAACAACCTCACTCATTCATTCAAGTATCTACTGAGCACCTACTGTGTGCCAAGTCCTGTTCTAGGCCTTGGAATTTACAAACAAAATCACTGTTGAAATGGTGACAATCAGAGGAAGACACAGGCAGTAATTACTGTGGAAAATAACAAAAAGGCTATGGTTTTGCAAAGGCTCTGAAGAAAAATGAAGCAAGGTGAGTAGCGAATGATGCTGACGTGGTTTCTCCAGGTGGGGGACAGGGAAAGCTTCTCTGAGGAGGTGGGCATTTGAGCAAAGATTTAAAGAGGAGAAGGTCTCTAGGGGAAAGCATTTCAAACAGAGGGTACAGCCTGTGCAAAGGTCCTGGAGCAGGGCGGCTTGGCAGTTTGGAGGAGCAAAGAGGACACCTATGTGACCGGAACAGAGTGAGCAACAGGGAGAGAAGGAGGAGGTAAGGGCAGAGAGGGAGGACTTGAGGTTTCATGCAAAGAGATGTGAGAGTCATGGGAGGGTTCAGACGAGTGAATGAACGAGTGAGTGGATCGGGAAAGCAGAGGGCACTCTCGCTTCTGATTCACAGGTGGGAACTGAGACCCAGAGAGGCCAAGTCACCGGCCCAGGTCCAGCTAGCAAGTCACAGGCAGAGCTGGGACTTAAGTCCAGACACCTCCAACTTCTTTCGTTGCCACCCATTGCTGCTCAGCTGAGCTGACATGTCCAGGCTGTGTGCTACATGGTCAGGCACACGGCCTTGGGAGCTAGGCCATTTGGGACTCAAATCCTGCTTCTGCTCCCCATAGTTGGGTGACATTTGGACCAAAAAGACCCAGACACAGAGCTTAGCACCCCCATGCCTCAGTTTCCTTCTTTGCCCAATGAGTGAATGGCAAGGAATCGATTTCTTTTATCAGACTTTCTTGGGGGCAGGGATGGAGGCGAGGAGCCCAGAGGAGGCTGTGCTGGCCTCTAGACACGAGCCACCCGTTTTTTGTGAGCTTCTTCAATCCTCTGCACAGCAGGGCCTGTCACGTCCTCACCGTGATCCTTCTGCTCATGTCGATCTCACTGGTCCCGCTCTGCAGGGAGACAAGCAAGGTCACCGCTAGTGCCTCAGCTGGGAGGATGAAGTTAGGGAGCTGCCTCCCCTCCCCAGCCCGCCTTTACCCAGGCTTCATTTCCCCCTCTCTCTCCTTTCTTTAAAACTAAGCATTTATTGATATTGTTCATTCCGCTCTGACTTTAGAAGCAATGCCTTTTGCAGCAGAAAATCTACAGAAAAAGAGAAATAAGTTAGCTATCATCTCACCCGAGAATGCCAACACGTAAATGTGATTCTTTTTCCCCTTCTTTTCTTGATGATTATAAATATTGTAATTAATTTAATGGCAATATACATATTGAAAATGGATTCTCTGTTGTTAAACATGAGGTTGTGCCTGATGTGTGGCTATTACAGACCAGGAGTTAACACCCCTGTAGCTAGTGGGTGTTCGAATCCACACTTATGTGGGGGGGAGGCATGTGCCCCAGTGACTAATCAGAAAGCAGCCGTGGCTATGGGCTCTCGTTTTCTTTCTCTGTCCGTCTCTCCTTTTTCTTTTTAATTTTTTACGATTTTAAAACAACTTCATCAGAAATTTTGACATAAACCTCATTAATATCAGCTCCGCAATTTCACACGCAGACACACACACACACGCACACACACACACACAGAAATTGGCATGTGTCCTTTCAGCAAAAAGGGATGAGCAAGGCTTTTGATGCAGAATCTTGTGTGATGAAGCTCTTTTTTGAGTGACCCACTGATGAGGTCACCCTAATTCCAGCTTGTCTTTAGAAATACAGCGCTCGTTTATGGATTCTTGATTCTGAGAACATTTGGCCAAGATGTTCCTCTGTGACAGATAACTCATAGTCCGAGATTTTTATCTGTGCTATCAACTTCACCATCATCATTAGCTTCTGGGATCTACTCTCTCTTTGCATTCATTTTAAGGTTTTTATTGTGATGAGATTCCGTAATGATTAGAAGGCTGTTGATGGGGCCTTCTACCGACAAGTACCCAGTTCTCAGTCATCAAGATAACACCCTTACTGTTTTGATGCATTTTCTTCCAGTCTTTTTTCCATGCTTCTGAGCACATTCTTTCTACGTCTGCTCTGTTTTCCCCTTCGTTATAGATGTAATTCAATTAATTGCTGTTGTGACGGCAAGAGTCTTGTCCGTCCTTGTTGCTGCTGTGTCCCTGGTGCCTGCACCACAGTAGGGGCTCAGTAGATACATGTTGGGTGAATTCATGAGCGGTATATCAAGGCTGGTTTTATTTTTCAACCCAGCATGTTGATCTCACAGGATGTGTGTGTGTGAGCGTGTGCCTGTGGGCGTGCAATGACCCTAAAGGCCTGAGAGTGGGTGTCCCCTGGTTCAAGTGGGGATTTAAAGGGCTGCTGTCCCCACCCCCCAATGTCTCTGCCTGTCCCACTCCATTGGTGGACAACCAGGGTGTCACCAAAATCCCTCTGGAACCATCCAGTCTACCTTTCTCTGTGACAGTTGGAGAAACTGAAGCCCAGAAAGGGGAAATGTCCTGCCCAAGCAGAATCAACATCATAACGAGAGGGTCCCTTTTGTTTTTAAAGGCTGGTAACTGAGGGGTGACATTTGTCTGCAGCTTTGCAATTTGCAGTCATGTGTTTTCAATGCTTTGTCACTCACCTTCTGCCTTCCTCAGCTTGTGTCCACTCTGACTAGAAGCCCAGGCCCTGCAGCTCCATGGGATCGAGAATAACAATCTCCCTTATTTAGAGAGCCTTTATTAAGCACTTATTATGTGACCGGCATATACACTGCTCGATACACGTGATCTCTCTTAGCTGTCACTATATTGTAGTGAGGCTGGCCCTAGTATTACCAGGTCCATTTCACCGAGCAGGCCAACTGAGGCCAGAGAGGGGAAGTCATTCATCCAGGGGGTGAGAAGACAGAGAAGGCAACCAAGTAGGACACACAGCTCAGGCAAGGCTGGGAGGTGGGCCTAGTACAACACAATATGAGAAAAGCCCTGGGAGTTAACTCCACGCCTGACCCTGGACCTGGTCCTATAATCATAAAAGGGCCACAGGAAGAAGGTTTGATGAGGAGGAAATAGGGGCTTGGCTTGGTCCAGGGAGGTGGCTCGCCCGCGCAGAGAGATGGAGACTGGAGATGGGGCAGAGGGAGGGGCCAGGGAGAGGCCTGCAACCTGGCCTGGCTGGGTGGGACACTCTTTGACTCACTGTCAAAACTGCAGAAAGATGAGGGGAAGCGATGATGAGACTCCGACTTGGAAAATTAGTATCTCAGTGGTACCTGGAAGAGTCTCTGCCTTTCCCAAGCCACACACAAATTCCCCCAAGTAGGGGAATTTGAGAGTGGGGGGCAGAACCAGAAGACCAGGTGCAACAGGGTATGGGATGTTCCCACTGGAGGGGGCAAAGAGAATACAGTCCCCATGTAAGGAGGGGAAACTGAGGCCCAGAGAGGCGGGCACAGACTCTTTCACCCTCCCCCACCTGCTGCTCTTCTCCCACAGCGTCTCCCCAGACTGAATCCAGACCCCAGCCCAGTCCCCTCTCCAGCTTAGCACATAATCAGCATTCAGTCCACACACACACATGTGCACACACACACAGCGATTGACATGGAAAGAAACTGTGACCTCAGAAGCTTGTGCAGGTGACAAGCCCAAGGTCACTCCACTAGGGGTAGTTGAAGCTCAGGTCCCATAATTTTTCAACTGCAGGCAACTCTTCTCTCTCCATCTCTCTCCCTCCCTTCCTCCTTCCCTCAGAACCATTTAAACGATTACAAAGATGCTATTTTTATCTCGGGGAAAATTCAATTATAGACATTGACCTTTCGGGTTTTTTTCCAGCCTCACGTGCTGCTGGCCCAGGGTGCGAAAGGCTCCGTGAACATTCTCAGGAGAGAAACTTCCCCAAAGTCACTCGTGGGCCTAAGCGGAGAGCAGAGGTCAAGGGTGAAGGTTCAAGTCTGTGGAAAGGGAGGCAGAGCTCAGTCCTCTGGAAGAACTAGCAGGGACGGGAATTCCCTTTTTTGTTGCTATATTTCGGGGCCTGATGGGGAGAGCCTGTCCCGCGTATGGGAGTGGCCGTTTCCTGAGTTACTCCCCAGCCTCTAATTGTACTTTCATGGACAAATCTCCCAGGATCTGCTAATAGGAGGTGCTCATTCAATGGGTTGGAACTCCCCTTAAGTATTTAATTATTCAACAAACATTAAGTGTGTGTCAGATGCTGTTCAAGGTGCTGGGAGGAAATGGTGAGCGGAACAGAATGAGCAGCTCTATTTTCAAGAGTGGATGTTGTACATTAAAAAATAAGCAGGTAAAATAGACAGTAGGTCAGATGGTGGTGAGAGCTAAGGAAACGATCAAAGCAGCACAGGAGGATGAAGATTTGCAGGGAGGTAAATCTTCAACAGGGTGGGCGGAGGGTTCCTCAGTGAGAGGGTGGGTTTGAGCAGAGATTTAAGGGGGGGCACAGCACATGGAAGGTGCTGGAGAAACATGGAGGAGGCCTGTGTAACGGGAGCAGAGTGAGAGGGAACAAGGGAGGGGTGGAGGGCAGGGAGGCTACATGGGCAGGCTGTACAGGGCCAGGGAAGATGTGGGTTTTATCCTGAGGGAGGTGGGAGCCGCAGAGGACTGTAGGTAGAGGGATGGGACCCTACTCAGTGCTCACAGGTGCCCTCTGGTGGTGGACCCAGGGAGGACAGACTATGGGGCAGACAGGCGTCAGTCATCAGGCTACTGCACTGGTCCAGGCTGGTGGTGATGGACTTGGACTGAAGGTATAGAAAATGGGGGAGAAGTGAGCATTTTCTGGATAGATTGTGTGTGGGGGGAACCAATGGACTTCTCTAAAGGGGTATGGGGAGAAGAGTTGAGGGTGGTGCTTTGATCTGAGCCCCTGGAAGGGTGAGCTGCCATTAACTGAGATGGGGCGGGGAGGCGTGATGCGGAAGATGTGACTGTGGCATGTTATTGGACACCCACGTGGAGCCGTTGAGATGTCAAAGCAGTTGGATATTAGGGTCTGGAATTGTGGGGAAAGATGCCTTCTGAAGACACATCTGGTACCAATAATGGAAAAGGATTGGAGTCCTTGTGGATGGTTGAGGGTCAGGGGAGAGAGATGTGTAAGGGCTGTCCTGTGCTTGGAAACTGGGCAGAGGAGAGAGCCTGTGAGACTGAGGCCCAGCCGAGAGGACAGGGGAGCCCAGGTGGGTGCTGGCTTCCGGGGACTAAGGAGGCAGGGGTTGGAATTCCCAGGAGGAGAAGGGATGGACTAGAGGGAGGAGGGTGGAGACTGAGAAATGACCCCCCGGTGCAGACACTGGGAGGTCATCTCACCCAGTTCAAGCTCAGAACAGCGGTGGGGAGGGCTCACCACTGAGACGCTCAGGAAGTGTTTTAACTTCCGGTGCTTCAGATATTCAACTCCGGAGCAAAGTGTCAGTTGCATCACTGCCCTGCCCTCAAAGACAAGATTTAGTGATGTCATGTTTTCAGTGCATCACTGGGCTATTATTGTTTCAGTCAGGGGTGCTATCTGTCCATCTACCCACCCATCCACCCACTTACTCATTCCTCCATGCATCCACCCATGCATCTATTCATCCCTGCATCTATCTGTCCACCTACTCACACATCCACTCATCTTTGCATCTACCTATCCATTCCTCTATCCACTCATCCATGCATTGATGCATGCATGCATGCATCCATCCATGAATCAATACATGCATTCATTCATTCATTCATCCTCTATCTATCCATCCACTGTCCACTCACTTATGTATTCTTCCACCCATCCATTCTTCTACCCATCCCCTCAGTGTGCAGAGCATACTGGAGCTGCTCATCTGGGTACAAATCCCAGTTTTGCCATGGCTTACTGTGGGTAAGCTACCTTCTCTGTCTGAACCTCAATTTCCTGATCTGTACCATGAGGTTACAGTCAACCCCTCCTCAGAGTCATTGGAAATCTAAAGAGCTGTGTCTCTAAAGCGCTTTAAATGTAGTAGCGCTGAATGAGTGCCAGCTGTTATTGTTATTATTAGTGTTTTCATTATTATAGACAACCACTACCAACAGTGTGATATGTGTTCTTCAGACTTGTTTAGAAACCCATGCATTGAGATGGCTTGGGATCATAAATAGGATCTATTTAAAATCCCTTTCTCCAAGTGAAATACCTACTATAATCGTCAGGTCTCCTAACCCAGAGCTCTGCGTGTTATCTCATTAAATTTTCCCTTCAGCCCAGGGAAGGAGAGCTTTTCTGTTAGTTGTAACTCACAAAGGAGGAAAAGGGTCACTCAGTGAGAAGAAAGGCTGGATGCCAACCCAGATCAGCCTGAGTTCAGAGTCTGAGTAGGTTGACTAAGCCAGCCACCAGGAGGTGGGAGAATGGGGTCCCTCCTGGGCACCCCGGCCAAGCTCCACCCCAGCCAACAACTTCCTCTTGATGTCATGGCAACCGGCTCCTTTGAGATGCTAATTAAGGTAAATAGGAGCTGATTCCCACCCTCAACGCTCCCCTGAGAACACGGCCAGAAGGGCCTTCCCGCCCCCATCCCCAAGCGAGCAAGGTGCTGCGGGAGCACCCGGCCAGAGGGACTCGGTTTCCCCAGGTTGCGTCACTTGTTCTGAGCCGGGGCCCCTGGGGGGGATGGGAACAAGGAGGAGAAGGGGTGAGCTCACCAGCTTGGAGATTGCAGATGCCATCTGTGGGCCGGGTGCCAGGTGCTGAGCACTCTCCACGCATCATCCACTCAAAATTCAACAAATTTAATCTTAGAGATCTTTTGTTGGGATAGGTAAGGCAGTACAGGGCACGTAATCAAGAGCAATGCTTAGCGGTTCTGTTTTCAGCCCCTCAGAGGTGTTAACTCATATGTCCTCATTCCAGCTGCCCTCTGAGGGGGGCGGCACCGTCCTTGTTGAGTAGATGAGGACTCTAAGGCACAGAGAGGTTCTATGACTTGTCCAAGATCTCACAGCTAGTCAAAGGCAGAGCTGAGCTTTTAATTACCATGTTCACACATAAGGCCCTGTGTATGCGTGTTCTTCTTCCCTTCCTGCTTTTTTCTCACACATACACATGTGTACTCAAATGCCATCCTTTGCTGTCTTTGCTGCTGCTGAACAATACAGCTTCGAGATCATTTCTTATTGGTACACGGAGTTTCACTTTTTATAAGCTGCTTGGCACTTCACTCAGGGAATAAGCCACACTATTTTTCCTTTTATCATGGTGAAATACACATGGTATTGACCATTTTACCCATTTAAAAATGTACAATTCAGTGGCAGTAAGTACATTCACACGGTTGCACAAACATTACTGCTGTTTAGTTCCAGAACATTCCATCACCCCAAAAAGAGACATATCTATATTAACAGTCACCCCACCACCTCCTAATCATGAACCCACTTCTTGTCCCTATGTCTGTGCCTGTTCTGGAAGTTTCTCCTCAGTGGACTCACATCTCGTGTGGTCTTGTGTGTCTGGCTTCTCCCCCCCTAGCATCATGTGTTCAAGGTCTGTCCGAGTGGTAGTAAGTGTCGGAGATGCCCTCTTTTTTTTTTTTTTTTTTTTTTAGATTTATTTATTTATGGATACAAGAGCTGGAGTACAGGCCAGAGGTGTGGGGTGCGAGGATTCACCAGAGACAGAGTGGGGAACTGAACAGGCAGACTGACCGAAGTACACTGCTGAGGGGAGCAGCGGACGAGTCAGGAGAGGTCTGCTATGCCATGTGGGTTGCTCCCTGGCCGGCTGGAGGATTGAACTCATGCTGCAGAGGCTGCGAACAGCTTCATAGGTTGCATCTCAACCCCTTGAGCCACCAGGGAGGCCCTGCCCTCTTTTTTTTAATAAAAAAAATTTTCATATGTAAATATACATAACAAAATCCACCATCTTAGCCATTTTAAGTGCACAGCTCAGCGCACCATTCACACTGGTGTGCAACCATTGTCCCTCCCTCTCCAGAACTTTCCCATCTTCCCCAACTGGATCACTGTTTCCATCAAACACTAACCCCCTTACCGTCCCCCCAGCCCCTTGCACCTCCTGTCCCTGAGGATGTGGCTCTTCTGGGGCCCTCCTGTGAGTGGATCACACAGTGTTTGTCCTTTGTGTCTGGCTTGTTTTACTTGTCATAGCATTTTTGCAGTTCACCCATGTTGCAGAGCATGTCAGAATTCCCTTCCTCCTTGGGGGTGAATACTGTCCCACTCGTGGGTGGACACTTTGTAGGGAGCCGCTTATCTGTGCATGGACATTTGGGTTGTGTCTGTCTCTTGGCTGTTGGGAATCACGCTGCTATGAATATGCATGTACAAATTTTTGTTGAAACACTTGTTTGCAATTCTTTGGGGTATTAAATCAGACTGTTTTAACCAGTCCCCATGGATGGATATTTAGGTTGTTTCCATTTTCTTTTTGCTATTGCAGACCACACTGCAGCAAACATCCTTCCCAGCTCACTGCCT